GCGTAGCCAGCTGCCTGCAGCCAGGAGGCCCCTCCCGCCCCGTCTGCCTGTCCCCAGGCGCCCGCAGGCTGGGCACCAGCCCGGAAAGTCTGTGGACCCTGCATGCTTGCCTTTGCTCAGATTCGGTTCCAGAGCATTCTCTCATGGCTTCCGTTGAGGTTCTGTTTTTGGTTTCTCCTACTCCGTGTCTTCCCTCCTTGGCCTGCCCCCTCCCCCGCGCACCCCTGGGGTGCATTCCTGGAGAACACACTCCTCTCACCCCCTTCTTCTCCCTGCAGCTCTCACCCCCCGGGCGCCAACCCCGGGTCTCCCCCCTCGCCCCTCTGCTGTTTCCCCATCATCCTCACTCACCTTGCTCCTCATCTTCTTTCTCCCTCCCTCTCCCCCTGTTTCCTTCCTTCTCCCCTTCCTTCTCTTTCCCCTCCCTCACCCCCACCTTCTCTCCCTCCCTCCCTTCCCTCCCTTTCTGCTCACTCCTCCCTCCCTCCCTCCCTCCCTCCCTCTCCCACTCTCTGCCTGTGGCTCACCCCTGCATGTCCCACCCACCCTGGGCCTCCCGGAGCCTGTGGCCCCGCCTGCCCACCACCGAGGTCACGGGGAGGGAGGCTGGGGCTCCGGCCCCCTCGGGCGATCCCCGCCTGCCTGGCCCACTGGGGCGCATCTCCTTTGAGTTTTCTCGCTCTCTCTTTCTCTCTCATGTCGTTTTTTGCAAGAAGTTTCCTTTCGGTATGATGATAAGACACAATATTTTCATTCAAACAGCCATTGAATAAAATATTGTTTGTGCCCCTCCCCTTCCCCTCCCCCTTTTCGTTTGTTTTTGTGTTTGTGTTGTTTTGTTTTCCTCGCTTTCTCTCTTGGTGGACTGCTGCTTGCCCCCCTCCCTGCCCAGGACCGGCCACACCCCTGCTCTCCAGGGCCCCCTCCCAGCATCCCCCTGGCTCCCCCAGTTCTTGCCTTTCCTCCGATCCCTACTAGAGCCAGCGGCCCCCTCCCCGGCCCTACCTGCAGGGCGGTTCTCCAAGGTGTTCTGAGAGCTCAGGCCCCCTCTCACCCTCCTGGCTCCCTCTGGGCCGGTCCCGCCCCCCTTCTCTGTCCCTCGAAGACAACTCAACAGTGGGGACAGGGCTCGATGCCTCTGCACCACCCCCACCCGGCAGTGCAGGGCCAGAGACGCAGGGGGCAGATCAGTCCTCACAGGGACTGTGTGACGCTCACGGGAAAGGGCCGGCCACACCGGCTTCCTGGGCAAGCTCTTCCCTGACCGCCAGCGCTGACTGCAGGGGAGCCGGAGGCTCTGAGGCCGGTGGACCAGGCCACCCTGGGCGCTGGCCATGGTGCTGAAACCCAGAGCCGCGGCTCAGGCCACCAGCCCAGCCCTGCGCTGGGTGCTCGCTGCCCCTGGGGAGGTGGGCGGGCTGGAGAAGAAGTCCAGTGAAGGCAGACGCAGGGTGGTGCGCCTGACCGCGGGAGGAAGGGGATCTGTCTGGACCCCAAGGGCCAGCAGAAGAGCTGGGAGGGATCCGGCTGGATGTGAAGAGCAGGGTCTGGCGCTCAGAGGTGCCCAGGCCAGACTCCCGGGAAAGGAAGGCAGTGAACGTGCGGGCCTGGTGAGAATGAGCGGGGAGAGCAGCAGGCCAGGGACTGCCACTGTGCAGACACACTCCCCCCCCCCCCCCCCGCAGGGAACCCCTGGGCAGAGAGGAGGTCCTGTCCTCCGTCCCCAGGGCCGGGAAGCCCTAGTCCAGCGAAGGGAATACAGCTGCCCCCGCGAGCCCGGGTGGGGGTGAGGGACAGGCCCCACTTCCACTGGCTTGAGTTGTCTTTTCTCCCCTCTGCACCCCTCCCAGGGACCCCAGAACTGCAGGGCCCTGGTAACAGTGACAACCATAGCACAGCCTCCCTTCCTGCTCCCCACCTCCTTTTTCTTTCTCCTCCTCCTCTCCTCCCCACCCCTGCCCTGTCGGCTTGTGTCCAAACCCTGCCTCCCAGTCCTATCAGAAAGCAACAGTCCAACCAGTGACTGCCCAGCCCCCCAGGCACCCCAAGTCCCCCTTCCCTGGAATCTTGCAGTGCATTGTGGGAGTATTGGGGAACAGGGAAGACCCCTCCTCTGCAAAAGCCAAGCCCTGGGGTGACTGAGAGGTTGGAATCTGGGTGTGAGGATGGCAAGGGGGACCCTCTGCCCAGAGCAAGGTGGCCAGTCCCACTCGGCCGGTCCCAGACGCCCACAAACCCACGCAGGGACAGCGGCATGCACACACACAAGCTCATGTCACTCACGCCTGCACGGGCCCCATTGGTGGATCCCTCACCAGCACCCCATGCCTGCTCTGAGCCCACACAGGTCCTAGGAAGGGGGAGACACCCCCCTCCCCCCCGCCCTCATGCTCCCAGCCCAAGAGGGCAGGTGTGCAGATTCAAGCAACCCTCCCGTCCCCTCCCAGCCCCCCGACTCTCCCCCCGCAGCGTGGGAACTTTCCCGGGTACCTCAAGGTCTCCCCTCCCCCAGCTCCTACCCTAGGGAGGACCGCCAGCCCCCACAATGCACTGCAGCCCACCCCGGCTGCCCACACTGTCTCTGGTTGGACTGTCTGTGCCGTGAGAAACCCCCTCGGTTTGGCCATGTTGATGCCTGACACAGAACAAAAGCAAGACCTACCAAAACGCAAAGAGCTGCAGCAAAGAGAGATACGGATCTGCAGCCAAAGCCACTCCCGCCCTCAGAGTCTCTGTGGAGGCGAAGGGAGACAGCATGTGGTTTTTCCATTATGGACGCGATACGCGCGAGACTGGCGCCCCCAGACCATGCATATATATAGCAGTGTGTGTATATATATGTGCGTGTGTGTGTCCGTGTATATGTGCTATACAGCCGTATGGAAGCATATACAGCCGCGCCAAGGGACTCACTGCCCACAGAGGACCGGGCCCGGGCAACATATTGGCTATAACTGCCCTCCTGCGATGCTGTGGTCTCCACAGGCTCCACCCTCCCCACCCCACCCTTTCTCTCTGGCTCGAACTTGAACATGGAAGTGGCGGGTTCCCTCTTTGCTAGTGTCTCCCCCTCCCTGAAGCCACCCCCCCGCCCTGTCCCTCCAGCCCCTTGAGCTCTGAGCCCCCTGGCCTCCCACCTCCCCAGCCCCCGCCGGATAACCCCCGTTTCTGTTGCAGATTTTGAGTTCCTGCTCCCCAGCAGCTTTGAGTCTGAAGGACATGTTTTCATTGCTCCCAGGTAGCTTGCGTGTGGCCTTGCTGAGGCGTCCTCCCCACCCCGGCCCGCCCCCTGCACTGCTGCCTGGAGCTCTGTGTGTCTGTGTCCTGTGCACTGTCGCCCCCTCCCCGTGCATAGCCCCGTATGTGCGCCACGTGCATACCCGGGCCATGTAGCTGAACCAGGCAGCGGTGCCGGCTGCCCCGGCTCCCCTCCCAGCAGGCCTGGCGCGGAGGGCTCTGCACCCTCTGCCCACTTCCCTACCCTCCCAGGCAACCAGGAGTCCTCTGTGCCCCGGGCTGGCTGGGCAGCTGCTGCTCTGGTTTGCGGTGCCTCCCCCCGCCCCGCCCTGCACCCCATCCTTGTCCTGTGTCAGTCAGTGTTTGTGTGGGTCTGAGGACGAGCCAGCCAGAGCCCCGTCGGCAGAGCCGAGTGTAGGTGTGGTGGCTCTCGGAGGACAGGGTGGAAGAGGGGCCGGGGGCTTGGAGGACAAGTGAGGGGTCAGGCCTGGACCACCCCTCGAGTGCGCTCAGCGTGCACACACATCCTGGGGGCGCACCCTGCCTGCGGCCGACACCTGCAGGAGCCAGGGGGCTCCAGGTGGTCACGCCCTCCCCTGCGACCCAGGCTCTGGAGGGGGCAGGTGGGTGCAGCTAAGAGACCCGGGGCACCCCGGGCACCACGCCGGGCTCTGGACACTCCTAACCTCGTGTGTGCACGTGCGCGCATGCACCCACACGGTTCTCCGACGGGTAGCTGCGTGTGTGTGTGTGTGTGTGTGTGAGTCCCTGTGGGTGTCTGTAAGCGCCTGGTAGCTGTGGGTGGCTGTGCGCAGCAGCCACTGGAAATGTGTGGAAAGGCCCGCGTGACCCTCAGGGAGCTCTTTGAGGACAGGGACTGTGTCTGTTTTTGTCACCTGTGTCTTTGGCTCGGGTGAGCTCGATAAATACGTGTTGGGTGAGTGAAGAATGTAACCCACAAACAGAAAGGCACACACGGGGCTGCAGGGGCACGCACCTCAGGCCTCGCTGATGGGCTGTCACTCTGGGAATGTCAGGTGTGGCCTCTACACCCGGTGGGGAAGCTGTGCACGGCCCCAGGGGCCCTGGACCAGGGAGCAGGGGGCTGAGACCCGGCCCGGTGCCCTCACCAAGCTGTGGGCCCCAGCAGGGCCCGAGAAGCAGCACCCTGTAAAGTTCCCAGCTCGCTGCTGCCTGCAGGCCAGCGGGGAGGGAGATCTCTGAGGCCGGGGTGGGAGTAGGACCTGGGCAGGAGAAACGGACTTCCTGGGAGCGGAGCCTAAACAGGCCACACGCCCGCAGCCCCACCCTGGGCCCCTGCGAGGGGCCTGTTCACCTGCTGTGATTAGGAAACCAGCTCCGGGAGCTGGGTGAGGGGCCCGAGGCGAGGCGCGCAGCCAGGAAGCGCAGGGTCAGGTCTCAGAGTCGGCAGCAGCGGTGCTGGGACCGCCCACCTGGTGCTCTCGGACCAGGACAGCACACAGGTGGGGAGCCACCGGAGGGCCTCCTCGTGCTCCATCCGGGTCCAGATACGCAGGAGAGGTGGGAGGCTCTGCAGGGCCATGTCCAGGAGCGAGAACCTTCCAGGATGGAGGAAGTAGACCCCCATTCTGTCAGCTCTGCCCCCCCTCAGACCCGGGAGCCCGCCAGGCCCGGAGCGGCTGCAGCCTGTAAGAACACACCTGCCCGCCCGGAGGCCTGGCTGACCGGCAAATGACCTGGAAGACCTGCTGGGAAGCCTCGACCCCCTGCCCTGTCCAGCCCCCCAAGCCCACTCCTCTTGCCCCCCCTCTGCCCCCAGAGAGTATTGCAAGGACCTGAATGCCTCCGACAACAACACCGAGTTCCTGAAAAACTTCATCGAGCTCATGGAGAAAGTGACTCCGGACTCCAAGCAGTGTGAGTGCGGATGGGGCAGCCCCGGGAGCGGGAGCCGGAACCGGCAGGTGTGGGAGATGCAGGCCTAAGCCAAGGGCCAGGCCGGGCCAGGGCATGGGGAAGGCTCCCATTAGAGCCTTGAGGGGAGGGGGTCCGTGGGCAGGGAGCCATGAAAAGCTGCCCCCCAACCCCTGCCCTCCCCTTTCAGGCAACAACTTCCTTCTGCACAACCTGATCTTGGACACGGGCATCACCCAGCAGCTGGTGGAGCGCGTGTGGCGGGACCAGGATCTCAACACGTAGGCACCGCCCGGGCTGTGGGGGCAGGAGGCCGGGATGGGCCGCGTGAAGGCAGCCTGTGACCTCACCTCCCTGCCGCCTGCCCCCAGGTACAGCCTTCTGGCCGTGTTTGCTGCCACCGATGGCGGCATCACCCGGGTGTTCCCCAACAAGTAAGTGACCTACCCCACTCCCCGACACCCTGCCCTCGCCTGGGACCCCGCCTCCGTCCTGCCGCCCAGAGGCCTGGGCACCTGCTGAGACCGCTGTCCCCCATAAGCCACCCTTCCACCCACCTCTGCCTTCCTGGGTGACCAGGGCAGCTGAAGACTGGACAGAGAACCCGGAGCCCTTCAATGCCAGTTTCTACCGCCGCAGCCTGGACAACCGCGGATACGTCTTCAGGCCCCCACACCAGGAGGGTGCGTGTCCCCCGGGTGCGCAGCAGCAGGGAGCTGAGGCCACGCTGTGTGCTCCTCCAGGCAGGGCTCTCCTCTCCGAGGCTCCTCCCAAACACGAGGCAGGCTGAGATGGGCGCTGAGGTGGGCGGATGAGGAGAGAGGGCGGGGCTGTGCTGACCACTGCCCTGGGTGCTGGGTGCTTAGGGCTGGGGTAAGCGTTGGCTGGGCTCCAGGACCAGCCCCCACCCCTGACTGCCTCGCCCAGCCCTGCTCAGGCCTCTGGAGCTGGAGAATGACACGGTGGGCATCCTGGTCAGCACCGCTGTGGAGTTCAGTCTGGGCGGACGCACCCTGAGACCAGCAGGTCAGTGCCCGCGGCGGGAGCAGGGAGGGGCCCACAGTGGGCAGGGTGCTGCCGAGGCCGGCAGACAGGCAGGCACTGATGGCCCTTGCTCTCCCCCCCAGTGGTGGGTGTTAAGCTGGATCTAGAGGCCTGGGCTGAGAAGTTCAAGGTGCTAGCCAGCAACCGTACCCACCAGGACCAGCCTCAGAAGGTACTTGGGCAGGGTTGGGGGCCGTAGCCCAGCAGCACCCGTTCTGGAGCCCCAGTCCTCCCTCTCAGTGTCTCCGGTGCCTGTGGGAGGCAGGGGCTGGTGCAGATGCCTGGGGACCCCAGGGGTGGAGGGTGCTGGGAGGGGGAGACTGGTGGACACCTTACAGTCCTTGCTCTCTGCCCAGCAGTGCGGCCCCAGCACCCACTGTGAGATGGACTGCGAGGTTAACAATGAGGTGGGTGCGCCCTGGACT